TTAATCAAAGCCTCTGCTTGAGCGGGGCTAACTTCGATGCCTCTGCGGTTAACCACGTGTCCCAAAAACTGACCGGAACTCACACCGAACGAGCACTTGGTTGGATTGAGCCTCATCCCATATCGCCTCAGCACATCAAATATATCTTGCAGATGTTTCAGATGATCATCCTTCTTCCTACTCTTTACCACCATATCATCAATATAGGATTCCACAATCTTTCCTATTTGATCCTTGAAAATTTTGCTAACAAGTCTTTGATAAGTTGCTCCCGCGTTCTTTAGTCCGAAAGGCATACCTTTGTAGCAGTATGTCCCTCGCTCGGTTACAAAAGAAGTTTTTTCTTCATCTGCCGGGTCCATAGGGATCTGATTATAACCTGAATAAGCGTCCAGAAAGGTTAAACGCTCATACCCGGTGGTGGCATCCACCATTTGATCAATCTTTGGCAGCGGGAAGCTATCCTTCGGACAGACTTTGTTCAAATTGGTGAAATCAATGCATACTCGCCATTTCCCATTCTTCTTCTACACGACAACGACGTTGGACAACCAATCAGGGTAGTGTACTTCTCTGATAAATCCCGCATCAAGCAGCCTATCAACTTCCTCGGCTATGATTTGGTTGCGTTCTGGAGCAAATCTTCGTTGCTTCTGTTTTACTGGTTTGAAATTGGGATTGACATTCAAGGAATGACAGGATACGGAGGGATTAATTCCAGGCATGTCTAGGTGACTCCATGCAAATACATCGGCATTGTGAGACAAGAAGTCAACTAGCTCTTGCTGCTCTTCCCTGGTCAGTCTTATTCCTACTCTGGTAGTTCGCTCTGGCCTGGACTGATCGATCTGCACATCCAGAAGGGGCTCTTCGGTCAAGTCAACTGACTCCTCCACCCTGTTCTGCTTGGGCGGAGGTTCCTGTAATTGCTATCTGGGGCTTGCCGATCGGACGGGCGCCTTCCCTTTCCCAGCATACTTTAGTGTGACGGAATAACACTCTTTGGCTGCAACCTGATCCCCACGAATGTCTATCACCTTATTTCCATTGGGTCCGAGGCACCTCATGACCTGATGCAAAGTTGAGGGTACACCTTGGACTCTGTGAATCCATCCTCTTCCCATCAGGAGATTGTACGAGGGGTGAATCTCTACAACCACAAAAGTTTCCATAAGAGCTCGTTCTGCAGCTTGAACTTCTACTTCCACCATTCCGACGGGCTCCACCCTCTTGCCATCGAATCCTAACAGGGGATTTCCAGTGGGCTTGAGCCTCTCTGGTTTAATCTCGAGCCGATCAAATGTGTCCCTCGGCATGACATTCGCACTGCTCCCTGGATCGATTAGAACTCTGCGCACCAGGCAGTCCGCCACTGTCAAACTGACTACCAACGGGTCTTCATGGGGGATTTGAACACGCTGCAGGTCTGTCCTGTCGAACTTTATCTGTATCGATGTGATCTGCTGGTGTAGAGTATTCACACTGCTGACCCTTTTCTTCATCTGCGCCTGCCGTAGGCGGGCTCGGAGTAGCTCATCTGAATCTTCGCTGGGCTCAGGTCGACCGTGGATAGCATTGATTATACGAACTGGTTGTGAATTGTGGGAGCTTTGTTTATGACTCCTTTTTACTTGTTCCATCGGTCGATTCTGCTCTGTCGCCGAGCCTTGAACATAACTCGCGAACTCCCCTCTAGCTATCAACATCTCCACTTGCCTTCTCAAATTCCTGCATTCATTAGTCTGATGACCGAAATCGGAATGGAAAGCACAATGTTTAGTCTGATCCCTCTGTTCGAGGGGTTGCCTAATTGGCAGTGGTGGATGAAACTTATCTTTGTTCTCCTGATATAGCCTCGCCAGAGTGACCTTCAGCGGAGTGATCAGCTCTTCCTCCCTGGACCTCTTTTCTGCCTTCCAGGAGGTCTAACGCTGCGGCTGAGCCTGCTTCTGCCTGATCTTTGCCTTGGACTTTTCCTCGGTCGACACGAGCGACGCTGTCCGAGCATTGGCTGCCTCCTCTTCTTCTAGGCGCACAAAGCCGTCGGCTCTTTCATTGAGTTCATCCATAGTCGTCGGCGTGTTCACTACCAGACTGGTATGGAACGGAGTGCCACGTGTCATGGCTAACTTGAAAGCTTGAACCGCTGTAGAAGGGTGGCATTCGATCACCATACTCTTAGTGAGATTAAACCTGGTGAGAAAAGCCTGGAGACGTTCATCTTTGTGCTGTCTCATTGTGAATAGGCTTGAGATGTCCTTTGGCAGACGCTTGGTCCCATAGTACTGGCTTATGAACCGATCGCACAGGTCTCGGAAGCTACCAATAGAGCTCCTAGGCAAGTTCTTGAACCAGCTGAGCGCCGGTCCAGCTAGGCTTGTAGGGAAACATTTGCACATTAAAGCTTCGTTTTCCGTATTCAGGGCCATCTTCAACTGGATATGGTACACATGATCGATCGGATCAGTTGTTCCGTCAAACAGAATAAAGACTGGCATAGCAAACTTCCTTGGATGCGGGGCATTCAGGATCTCGTCAGTGAATGGTGAATCAACCGTCCGAGCCGCGGATCGGAGTGCTTCATTCTCTCTTTGGCGCCCAGTGGTAGCTCTGTGAGCTACGGTTCTGCTCTCCGAACCGCGATGAGTGATTGTAGCCACGCCGGTAGGACGGATCGAACGACCGTTCCTCTATGAGCTCTCTTTGCCAAGGTGACGCAACTTGGCGGCGATCAACCTCTATCACCTCCTCTCGGTTGAACCTTTCCCGATGCGGATCGAAGGTCATGGCTTCGTTCTGTCTGATCTGCTCATGTCACGGATCAACGTGAGTCGATCCTTCGTGATCCTCAACTCGACGAGCATTTGGCGGCAAATCATCCATCCTCCTTTCATCACGGTGGAGAGCTGACTGATTGTTCTCGTCCTGCTCGCCTTGATGCGCGATATTAGATTGAACACATCCTTCACCGGCCGGAAGTGGACGCGAAACCGCGGGTATTTGCTGATGTTGCATTCCAGCTTTCAATTCTGCATTCTCTTTTTTGAGAGCCTCGATCAAGTTCATCAACTCCTCAAGCTTCGTTTGCTGGACAGCCTCCATCGGATTGGAGCTTTCACCTATCATTATTCCTGAACGGAGTAAAGGCATTAATCTCAAGTTCGTGAGTAGATCCGAGCTTCGTGAGTGGGAATTTTTCAGATTTGGTTTCGAATTCTCCGAATTATGCTCACGGTTGACGAGATCTGAATTGTCCGAATTCTAAATCCGTCAGATCCTGCCACAATCGAACAACTCGTTGTTGCGTAGATCTGAAGCCACTTCTGCCAAAGCAACAGGAACTAAAATTCCTCCAGAGTAGGTCACAATCGCTCAAATCTGGATCCAACTCCCAAAGATCGAGTTTCGTTCCCACGGATTGGTCTGAATCCACGCGATATTAATCAATGATCAATCAATCTTCCACGCTTCCCACAGACGGCGCCAATTGAAGATGCAAGAAATTCCTCCTCCCTTTCTCTCTCTAGAATTCTTGTATTTCAACCAAAAAAAAAATATCTCCCCCCTTCTATCCATTACTTCTCCTATTTATAGATATTTACAAATGTTGATGGACTGCTGGATCTAGGCCCGTTCCTCTATGAGTTCTGGTCATCTTTGATGGGCTTATTCGCGTTCGGCCCATATGGCAGTGTCTTTCTATGGGCCTGACCCATCTGTACGGACCGGATGTCGCGTTTGCAAGTCATATCCGGCCCATGTCACTTCGGGCCTCCTCAACTACCTAATCACGAGTAATCATATCATTTTTTTTTAATCCGAACCTATGTTAATTTTGATATTTCTTTTCCCCTATCCTTACCAACAATGTAAGATCACATCAATCTTCCTCCCTTTTGCAGTTCTTGATCTCATCTCATTACACATGTCTAAACCATTTTACTCGATTTTTCTCATTTGTCTTCACTCTTAGCTGTTACTACTTTAAACGTTTCACAAATAATCTTTTCTGATTTCAACATTTCTGATCTTGCCGCGTGTCCACATCTCAATATTCGCATTTTCATTTTGTGATCATTTTATAGAATTTACCCTTTTCTTTTTAATATATATGTTCGTCAAGGCATGGTAGCAACTGTTGGCATGTTCCATAAACTAAAAATTGTGAATTATATAAACAAGACTGGTAAAATTATGTTTTAAAGAGTTGCTAATCTTATTGTTTGAGATCAGAGTGACATGTGTAAAATTGGAGATGGGACTTTTAGAGTGATTCACACTAGTCATTCACACTAGGTACACGTAAGCGACTTAGAGAACAAAGTATCAGAATGGCTAATAGGTAGTTTAGTGGACCAACACAAGACGTAGTTGAATTATGCTTTAAAACACAATTACGTTTTAATGAATTAGTCATTCACACTAGGTACAGGTAAGTGACTTAGAGAACAAAGTATCGGAATGGCTAATAGGTAGTTTAGTGGACCAACATAAGACGTAGTTGACCACACAATATGATGGAATTATTTGTAAGTAGTTTTGGCATGTTTTGATCGTAAAGTGTAAACAGTGGCCACCCGGCCAATTGAAGAAATGTTCAATTGATCAAAGAAAGGTTTGAACTAAGTATCCATGATTCGATATCTTTTGACCCTTAATCTATATCACATTATACCTAGGATTTCTAATTTTTGCTAAAACTGAATTCCTTATGTTCAATTTTAATCCTACTTATTAAACGTCTTGATTTCAAAAATTCTATCCAAACCTCTAGTTCATCACTTGTACCCACTTTAATTTGTCAATTGAAAAATAAAAATTGTCATCTAGCAAAAAACATACATAACGGAACATCAAAAGTACACTCATCGATTTTCTATAAGCCCATTATTTTTAAAATTCACTTGTTTTTCATGCATTCTTACATGTATAATAAAAATATGATATTAAGAAAATGGAAAGTAATCCATTTTGACTAGAACAAAATGTCTAAGACATACCACGCCATTTGCTGACAACTGATGATGCTGAAATATTGAAAAATGTGGTATTGCACTCAGTTGCAACAGCCTTCGCAAGCATGGTCTGTAATATAAAAAAGGTGATTCATCTTAGTCTGCAAGATCAAAAGGGTAAATCATTTAATGTAAAAGAATCAACCAGAGAAAAAAGCTAGATCAAAGCAATGATTTGGTGATAGTAATGGAAAATTAACAGTGCTGAATATATATGAAGAAATGTCTATTTAATAGAGCTCTCCTCTACATGCATCTCTTCACACAGAACAACAATCATACAACTTTTTGCTTTCAAATTGGAATATTGTGTTCAGCCTAAAATATGGAAACATGAATTATTATTGGGTTCAGTAAAAATTCCGATGCATCCAAACCATTAAAAAACATGTTTTCTACTAGAAAGACCAGCCTGCATGAATAGAGGGAAGGTTCATGTGGAACAACAGACTAATTAGCCTTACATCGACTATTACTATTATGTAGTAGAAATTTCTGCAAATGTACCATATATATAGAAGTCATACCATATAAATAACAATATAAGGAACCATTTAGATTATCACCACCAAGATTTGCAGCGCCTACATACAACTGACGAGTTAATTCAGTAATCAGACATATCAGTGGCTTTTCCGAGCAAAGAAATAATTCTTTAAGGAATGTCTCTGTAACTTTTCTTCCAGACAATTTGAGATTGTAGAGAATTTAGAGTCTTTAGCAGCATCAATGCATTTACTAAACAAAAACAATATGATAAACAGCCTTGTAAAGGAAATGAAGATGATAAGAAACTTCATTTAAAAACCAACATTTGTAAAGATCACGACAAACCAACAAAAGACAAAAAATACAAACCTTTCCTGTTCCTGGAGGGCCGAAAAGTAGAATACCTTTCCATGGTGATAGAAGACCAGTAAAGTACCTAGAAAGGGGAACAATTAGATGGACCGGTCAAAGGAAAATTTCGTACTTGCATCTAAGAGCAATTCACATGCTAACACTTAAAACCAAGAAATAGGTGAGGAACTAGATGGAACATTATCTAAACATACAGGACAAATATCATTGAGGATTTAGAGGATCTCATGGATAATAAGAGTAAGCATGTACAGAACTACTTCAATGCAAATAAAAACACGTCAAGAGCATGCACATGTTTATATGCACACGCAAACACACACGGGATTCAAAAAGCATTATATTACATCATTTGTGTACGAGCATAGAGAGGCAAGCAAATCAGTTTGAAGGGAAAAGCATGATGTGATTAACATAAAATTTCAACAGCTTTGAAAATAGCTTTATCCATTAGGTGTTCACTAACAAGACGTACTTAGGATATTTGATTGGCATAACAACAGCTTCTTTAAGTAGACGTTTGGCATTCTCTAACCCTTTTATACTTTCCCATTTCACATCTGGACTTCCACGAATGATATCCCTGCACAGGAAACAAAATAAAATAATATGCAAATTTACATTACTGAATTCAGTTTGTTATAAAATAAAATTCGTAGATAGATTGACAGCATGGAATGTAATAACAATATCAGCTATTACTAAGGGTAGAGGACTTGTTGTTACCATTTACCTACATAAACTCTCTGCTAAGTTACGCATTTCTGCGGATTCAAAAGGAGGAAGTAGAGATTTTTGCCTGAAAAGTGAACATCAAATGTCAGTAGATTCCAAAGAGGGATAAAATGTTCCAACAGTTTTAACAACTTAGAACAAAGAAGTTCGTTTTTGACCAAACTATTTTACATGGTTGATGTACATCAATATAATTACAAATTCAAACTAGAATATATTAATTTGAATTCTAATTAAAAAATTTATTACATCATATAATTTTAATGAAATAACAAAAATCTTATGTTTGCTGATTTGTCATACTAGGAATGACGCCTTTCTTTGTCCCTGAGTCACTGACATGGGTAGCACAGAGTATTTAGTTATTATCTGAGGTCCATCAATATAATCATGAGAAAAAGAGGATACAGCAATATGATAATTGACCATAAATGTATTAAATTAGAAACTTCAATAAAAATAGTATATTATTTAGGCAATCCATTTTTTGTACACTTGCAATTCACTTGACTTTTTTAATAAATGAAATGACAATATTACTCTCATAAATGGAGTGTATCAGTACTATACATAAAAAGTTATATTTCATGCTCATTCTTTTAAACATACAACATCCTAAACATTAAATTCTAAAAGGTAGAGCATCTAGAGTCCAAATACACATTACATACTTTAACAAAAAGCTAATCGTCAAGAACTCTGCCACCATTAGTTCAATTGTAGTTTGCAGTTTTTGCAAGATATGGTAGTTATCATGTAAAATTTACTTAATTAATACTCATGGCACAAATATGTTTCTTCCAAACCGAAAACTAATAGTTTTCTATGATGCAAGGAAGAGATCCAAAAAGCAACAAGTGTATCAGGAGTTTCTCCATTACGAATAACTACCAAAGTATTACACAAAAAACCAAATAAATTAAAAAAGAGTTGATAAATCATACGGCCTCTCACTGGCTCCATTAGATAAGACTCCATTGGAGTGAGTTGAGCTCCCTCGGTCCTGAAATTTAACAACATTAAGCATCTCAAATAGCTTGCCAATACAGATTAAACTTTACCATTACCACGCCCGCAATGAAGCATATGCAGACTACCTGGTTTGCATACTGCTCAAAAATGGCCATGTCGGATGTGTTCTTCACATGTCCATTTCCATCTGAAGTTGCATGCAGAGCACTCCCATTCGCAATCGCACTACCAGCATTTTGGCCGCTTGCTGCTGAATCATTTGCCTTGGGCTCCTTCTTCCTCCCAAACTTAAAATCATAATATATCTTAAAATCCTAAATATGGACAACATAGCTTACATCAAAGCATAATTCTTGATCCAATTTTAATTCTTAGATCATAATTCAAACAAATTAGATCCTATATCATGTTTGACTCTACAAACAATTTCGAGAACAATAAAGAGGTAAAAAAAATTCCGAAAACACTCGATCTAGCTGCCAAGAAAACATATGTATATATTAGAAAATGAAGTATTGAAAATTATGTTTAATGTAATGTAGGTTTGATTTCCAAAATAGCCAGACAGTTGTACTAAGTGGATGAATAGTAAGAAATTTGACGACTCAAAATTTCACTCGTATCATCTCTGCAACGAAACACATAACTGAATACAAAACAAGAGAGAAATCATCGAAAATTCTAAAATTCAAAGTTTGATTTCATTTTCTTTGCCACATTGACTCCGCAAACCAAACAGATTAAACCTAAGAAGAGGAGAATCAGTACCTGGAAGGACCAGCGAGTGAGCGAAGGTTCGTCCGCCATTTCTGATAATTAGGAGAGAATCGAAAGGAAAGAGAGTAGAGATCTGAAGAAATCTCTCCCCACTTTCTCTCTCCTCACTCTCTCACTGTGTGTACAGGTCGGTTACTATGTGTACAGGTCGGTTGTATGATTTGTATCGGCCGCTCTACAGCTCTGAAAGAGAGTACAAGTGAGAATGTGCAAAGAAAAACAATAAAAAAATGAGGAATCGAGAGATTCCCAGAAGAGATGGACCAAAATCTTGCTGATCTGTCGTGCAAAGCTATGTACGTTTCCTGTAGGTGACTCACTGGCCAATCATATTTTCAACTCGGCGTGAATACTATTGGTTAGTGAGAGGAAAGAGAGTGTTTTATACTGGAGACGAAAAAAGTACTCCCATAGATTTTCCCACGTGGCTGTCAACTAACAGGGACAAGAGTGATGGGACAGCGGTGCAACTTCGGTGTTCTGTTTGGGCGGAAGCCCACTTTAAGACCAGATCAACTTGCCTCGATTTTTCAGGCCTGACCAAGTCTAGGATAAGACAGGCTCAGCCCAAACGCAACCCCAAGGGTCGGCCCAACAGACAGGCCAGATTCTGAATCTCCTGGCTCGGGAATGGCCCAATGAAGGTTTGATTTTTTATTTCTTCTCCTGGGAAAAGAAGAGAGAAAAAACTATGCAATGGTAGAATGGTCATTGCATGTTTAAAACGGTCATTTCACCAAGAACCTGCATACCACGAGGCACGAAAACCACTCTAACGTCTTCCGGAATCCCATATTTATAATCGAAAACTTTAATACGATTCACCCAAATTACGTCAGCATAAGAAACACAAACGCAAACACCACGTCCGAGAGACCACCAAAAAAAAAAAACACATTGTCTTGTGCCATGATTCGCAAAACCATTTTAGTTTATTAGGTTACGAAGCAAAACCAACACACCACCCAATGTACCTAGTGATAACACCGCTACACCAATAATTTAATCGATAATCAATAAATCTCACTTGTGGATGAAATAATTCAACAAATTCAAATTATCATAAATACAGAATATATTGACATGTTGTTCCAATTAAATACAAAATATAGTGACACGTTGTTTCGATTTTTTGGAGGAAAAAAAGGAAGGAATAAACTGTTTTTATTGGGCACTAATTATCTCGCAAGTTTTTGATCTTATAAGGGTGGCCTAGTTGAACGCTAAGCTCCTGAATGGGTATGTCTATAACAATATTAATAAATAAATAAATAAGTTGATCTTATAAACTACGATATTTATTTATTCTCTCCTCAAAATTATTGTTTCCAATTTAAATGTTTGTTTATTCCTTAATTAAAACTCGGTAATTATACATTCCAACGCAAAATCAAAATCTGAAACGGACCAAACCATCCAAACTCTGTAAGGTGTTTTTTCTTAAAAAAAAAAATTGTGGGACTCCAGACATCACCTTTCCTTGGAGGAAAGAGAGGTTAGAAGGAGAGATTATACTTACAACCGAATTAATAACAAGTATTACATCAGCTTAATCATAAAATATAACAAATGATGAAAGCATTATTAGGTCCCATTAGACCCCGTGATTAACAATGTCAATTTCATTTTCATATTGCACGAACATGATTCATTATTGAAAGCATTATTAGGTCATCTGTCTTGTTTCCATGAGAAATCAGGAATGCAGGGAACTATCAGCATAGCCTGGTTTGTTATCATTCAGGAATGCAGTTCACACTCATCTGTCTTGTTTCCATGAGAAATCAGGCTATGGTTTCTCAGCCTCTTGGTTAACATGTTCCGCAATAATTCTCACTTTCGGTCGTGATTTGTTTTTTTTTTTTTTTTTTATTATTATTTTTCAAATTAATACAGTACTCTTGCATAAAACAGGAATCAATACAGTGTACATGTTTTTTATTCTTACACTTCGAAAAAAAAAACTTTAATGCATACGTCATATTAACGACATGATATTAACAACTAATTAAATGGAGACACACGGCGAATTAATTCACTGAAATAGATGCACTAAACCCTTCATCGAGGAAATGGACTTGTGGTTGTGGAGTACCCAGAATAAATTAGAACATATTTGTGCTATATATGTGTATGTGTGTGTGTGTTTTGTTTTGGTTACTTCTTGAGGCTTCGAGGATTTTTTTTTTTTTTTTTTTTTTTTTTTCCTTCTGTCTTGGCAAATAACACTCACAATATTATTGGAACAAATAACTCTCACAATATTAGTGGGGGAGACTTAAATTCTCTATCTTTTAAGTTCGAGCATTACTTTAATTGATATCCGTATGGTTCAAGAAAAATCTTATTATTTTCAGAACATAAATGTTCTGAATTGGTAGGTAAGGGTACCATACCAGTGGGAAGGAAAATGATAGGTGAAGAAAATGGTACCCCATAGGAGTGAGATTTTGTGTATGCCAGAATATAACTTAATTGATTATTGAATACTAATAGTGTAAGCTCAAATGGAACACATCGAACTTAATAAGTTTCTTGCAAAATGACTGTGCAGCAGACTCCTGCAGTGGGGTGGAGCAAGAATGTCAGCTACGTATTTAATATTGTCATTATTATAAGGTTTGACAATCAAAATATTCATATAGACACACATTACACATACGTGTATATATATTATTATATTCTGTCAGATCATGTATCTTGGCTCGCCCCGAATTGGACATCACACCTACCAAGGTAGGACTTGGCTATATTTTATTTTATCGGTGCAAAGCACGTGATGGTCTTATAATTTGGAAACAACATAAATATTGAGCATCTCCAATGCCCTTGTATTTTGGGCTGCTAAACTCAAAATATAGCGGAGGTGTAAAAGTCAGGCTCTCTAATGGGCCTTCATTTGAACTGTCAAAATTTGAAAATGTCAATTATCTCATACATAGGGGTTGTCAATTTTTTTGGCAGGCCTCCTCCTCTCTCTGTACGACACCGTTTAGAATGGCTTTATGTCCATCACGTTCCTGTCCCCTCTTCTCTCTCGGTTGCGTTGCCCTGTTGTCCCTCTCTCCCTCTTATCTGCAACTGCAACGATCTCTCTCCCTTTATTCTGCAACGACATCGATTATCGATGGTGATCGGATAAAAATTCTCAGATCTGTATTTTCCCTTTACCTCTCATCCTCATATATGTATGTATATATATATATATATATATACTAGGAAAAGGCACGTGCGATGCACGTGATCAATGTTTTGTAACTTATTTTATTATTTGATAAATTATTTTATTAAATAATTATTTATTTTTCCTATTTTTTTAGTTGCTTTAATAATGATTTTAACTCATTTTATTTTAATTCATTTTATATCAATTAATAAATATTTTTTATATTAATAAATAAATACTGAAATACTAAAAGAAAATAAAATAGCTAATTTGTGGTAGAGTTTTATAGAGTATTTTTTATATTAATTATTTTTGTCTAATTAGATTTCCTTTTATTAAAAAAGTCATAATTAAAAGTAATTTGTGGTAGAGTTTTAGAAAAATTATTTAATTTTTTATATCAATTAATAAATATTTTTTATATTAATAATTCTTATCTAATTAGATTTTCTTTAAAAAATTCTTAATAATAAGTTTTATAAAGTTTTATAAAACTTTATAAAACTCTAAATTTACGTAATAAAATTCAAACTAACCTATTTATCTATTTATTATTAAGAATTTTTTAAAGAAAATCTAATTAGATAAGAATTATTAATATAAAAAATATTTATTAATTGATATAAAAATTCAAACTAACCTATTTATCCATTTATTATTAAGAATTTTTTAAAGAAAATCTAATTAGATAAGAATTATTAATATAAAAAATATTTATTAATTGATATAAAAAATTAAATAATTTTTCGTATCGATTAATAAACTTTTTCGTATCGATTAATAAAATTGATATATATATATATATATATATATATATATATATATATAAACTTTTTTCGTATCGATTAATAAATATTTTTTATATAAATAAATAAATATTTAAACACTGAAATTCTTTGCACACATTTAATAATAGTATAGATAAAAACTCTTTTTATATCGATTAATAAATATTTTTTTATATAAATAAATAAATACTGAAAACTCTTTTGCAGAGCTTCTTGGATTAATAGGATGATTACATAATTAGCCAGGTCAATTATATTGTAACAATTATTCATAAAAAAATAACTATTCTTTTCAAATCAATTAATAAATATTTTATTGTGATTGATTTTATTAGGTAATTTTTAGTGTTTTATAGAAACTATTTTTATAAAAATTATTTTTATATCAATTACTAAATATTTTTTTATATAAATAAATAAATACTAAAATATTGAATAGGCCGGGCTAGTTATATTGTGATAATTATCCAAAAAAAATAACTATTCTTTTTATATCAATTAATAAATATTTTATTGTGATTGATTTTATATTATTTTCTAATTAGATTTTATTTTATTAAAAAACTCATAATAAATAAATTAATGTGATATAGTTTTATAGAGAATAAAAAAGCTAATTTGTGTTGAATTTATAAAAATTATTTTACTTTCTTTAAATATATTCTTGTCTAATTAGATTTCCTTTTATTAAAAAAACTCATAATAAACCGATAAATAGGTCATACGTGTTAGAGTTTTATAGAAACTCTTTTAAACACTCTTTTTAAATTAATTAATGAATATTTTTTTATATTAATAATTCTTGTCTAATTAGTATTCCATTTATTAAAAACTCATGATAAAAGATAATGGCCGCATGGCGTGCCACACCACCACCATCAAGCTTGAAGAGTGTGTGCATTATAAGGCGAGAGTCAAAAGTTTTACATTTATAGAAGCCACTATTACCTTTCACTTTAAATATAGCTAGGGCGAGTAGGGATCGTCCCAAGGGATTTGTGAGGATCGAGCAATGTCGTGGAATCGTTATTAGGGTTAGTAGGTCGAGTGATCAAACAATTGGTTGGTTGGTTGATTAGAGAGCAACTCAATTAAAATAAGTGACAACAAAGAATGCAATTAAGAGTAAATAAGATAGAAAGATCTTGGGGTTTAGAGATCACCACCAAGCAATGCATTTCTATATCATTGACAAGTAATTAATGAAGGCAAATGGTGTGTTGCAATATTGGTGTGTGTGTGTTTGGTTGATTCTACAAGTAAGGATAACTAGTTAAGTATGTATTGTCTAAATATCATGTGAAAGGCACAATATATCTAAGCAATGAAGTATATATTGTCTAAACAACATGTGAAAAGCACAATAGATCAAAATAAGTC